AAATTTTGAAACAAATCTTGGAAAAACCGAAAGTACTACGCAACAGAACTTTTGAAACGATATGGAATGCATATGTTATAATGCTCTATTGTTGTTATATTTACGAGATTTAATAATATTTTCATTTACTTATTAAATAGAAACAGCAAAACCAAAATAAAACCTTAATTTTCATTAACCCAACTAACTAACCTTAAAATCTCGATATCCCTAAACAAATCAAAGTGGTAAATTATTGAACGCTATTAGCAACTTTGCCATTATATCGCCTTCTCTATATGCTCAAGCAACCAATTTCAACAAGTTAATTGCCGCATAGCAACTTGGGGATAATATGGTATGAAGGGCGAAAACAAGTTTAAAACGTCATATGCACTCAGCGGGCTGCAACAAATAAAAAGGACTAAATTGCTCGTAGAGTTATAACTACATCGATGTTTTACAGGGAGGTCAAAAATAATAGCGACACATTTCGGAGTTAAGATTTTAGAGATGAAAATAAGACAAAAAAAGGCATATTAACAGGCCCCATTGTTTAACAAACTACAACTAAAAAACCTAGAGTTTGTTCCAGAGGGAATGCTGAAGATATTTCAAACTAAAAAAGGTACACTTCTCCGTCCAAAGACACTGTTTTCCATGAAAACGCTTTTTACTAACTTGTGGTAAACGGTATAAATAGTGTATTATGACACAAGTGTGGTAAACGGCATTTCACTCACGAATTTATTTGACACGAGCGGAGCGAGTGTTTAATAAACGAGTGACTCAAAAAGTTGACCGAACGTGTTGCATAGTAGACTTTTTGTGCGACCGTTAGTTTTTGGGTACATTTTCTTAAAACAACACGAATATATTCACTGACGACCGTCAGAATTGACAAACGTCAAAATTCAAGGTGTGGGAAATATCTCCGAAAACATCCGATTACACCCAATCCCGTGCGATAAAATCTCGGAAATGTCCACAGTGGCTTTGATCTGTGGGAAACGAAACTGACGTGGTAAAGTAACGCTTCCCGCACGCTAGATCGGTGTGTAATTAGGCATTTTACAGACGGGAGTGGAAAAAAGTAATTTTTAAATTAAAGTGACATGAGTTTAATTTATTGACAAGCTACCACAAAACTGGTTACCACTGGTTACTAGCATTCAGCACTTATCAAACAATATTCTAACCGGTTCTAGCCATTTAAGTAACTATTTTTCAAGGCATGTTCATATGAACTTTTTCACCTCGAAATATATATGCAGACATTATTTCCGGATATTCTGTATAATCCATTAATCACCTACTTACATTTTGGCATCTTGCTAAGTTTTTTTTCACTCCCTACTCTAAAATAATTATTCATGGATCAAGCGTGCGCAAAGTATCACTTTAAGAGCTCAACGTCTGTTGCGAGCCACTATGGACATTACCGGTACTTTAATCACGGGTTTGAAAACGATCGAATGTTTTCGGTACATTTTAGCGATGGTATTTTGACGTTTGTCAGTTCCGACGTCACGTCACACGTGTGAATGTATCGTGCTGTTTTGCAAAACTGGATTCCCCTGGGCTCCGCTCGTTCCAAAACAAACACATGACTAAAGTTGCGTTTATCAAATTTGTTGTGGATTATAAGAAATTAGAATTAATTTTATTTAATTCGTTGCAAATTACATAACGTCAGATATTTAATTCAAGAAGTAAAAATAGATTGCTAGAAATATCACCATTCTATGATAATTTCGTTGTTATAATATAATTAAACTAAATTAAATAAGGTACATATGTGTTTCTTCTGTTTGGCCGACAAACTTTTACTACTATAGTGGTACCTTCGAAGCCTGAATCAAGGAAATCCCAAGAGGCACATCAGTTTGTTGTCTCTATCCATTTAAATTTCAACAGAATATTTTGTCTAAGTCCCTAAACGTTTCACAAAGAAACACTGACGAAAGATGGTAAAACTTGACGTCATAAAAGTCACTTAAAACGGAAATTTTTCGTGCTCCCTTCCAGAACCGAAAGAAAATTGTATTAAATTGGAGGAGTTTTCCTTTTTAAATTTTAAACGAGTTTGCTGATGAACCGAAAGAAAAGGGATTTTGTTGAAATTAGGACGAACTAATCGACTGAGTTTAAATGATCTTTTAGATGACGAGTTTTGGATTGACCTTCCAGGGGGGAATATATTTAATTCTGTCGAAAATAAATTCCTCGAATTTTTTTTTAAAACACAGGTTTTCAAAAAGAGTGCTCAATTCCAATACATTCCTCACGCACGTAATGCCACTTGCTGAAAGAAGATCTTAATTTATTTGTTTATAAGACTTAAATTGAAACATGTATAGGAGGTGCTGATGTATTAAATTAGCCTGTTTATTTTATGTTTCCCTAGCAAAGTCTTCGGGCACGCAATAAATTTAGAACAGAAAATGTTCTAAAAAAAACAATATTATGAATAACCTGCAGTTCCCAAATATTTGAAGCTAGTGAGAGCGGGACGTAAAATATAGCGGCAAGCCCCTTGGAGGAGTTGTTTCTATTATTCAATTGAACTCATAAAATCAAACAATTGAGTCTGTAGTACTTTCGAATCTGCATACTTGCAGTAGCGCAGTAACACAAAAATGGGGACAATCCTTAATTTTTAAATGTATTATTTAAAATGATTAGAAAGCACTAAGGTGTCGTCACAAAGCATCATATCATATCAATTAAAACTTCAATGGTAAAAATGGCAAACTAGAGGAGATCAGCTTTACCAACGAACCACCAACTATTTTTCACTGCATGTTCATATGAACTTTTTCACCTCGAAATAAATATGCAGACATTATTTCCGGGTATTCTGTATAATCCATTAATCACCTACTTACATTTTGGCGTCTTGCTAAGTTTTTTTCCACTCCCTACTCTAAAATAATTATTCATGGGTCAAGAGTGCGCAAAGTATCACTTTAAGAGCTCAACGTCCGTTGCGAGCCAACTGTGGAGTCTAATCTCAGACACGATAAAGCTCTACTATTATGGAAGGAGTCACAAAGAGCTAATAACTAACTCTTCCAAAGTGTAATCTGTTGTCTGTAACATGAGAGTAGCAATATTTCTTGCTTAAAATATATTTTATTGATCAAAGCAATTGATCTCGTGCTTTCACTTTATCAGTAACTGTAATCATAAAATAAACTTGTCAAGTCAAAGGCCAACGATTATATTCAGAATATAACTAATCCGCAAAAAAAAAATTCTAATAAAATTTAATGTCTAGTAATACGTAGTACTAGTGAACATACATCTATAAAGTATCACAATTTAACAGTTCACAACTTGAAAACGAAAAAAGGGATTGACATCCGGTTTTCACTAAACTGTCCAATGCATATTGATAAGTTGTTTTCATTATATATAAAATATATATTATATAATTATATATTTTTATAAACGGGGAAGATGAGGGTTTCAAATGAACATTAGTTCCATTTGAAATTTGCTCCCAATATGCACTCGAAAAATGTCTTTTTTATCGATCATTTGAGAAAAAATTATACCTGGCAACGGAGGTGAAATTCAATGAATGCTGTTAATATGTGACACTTTATAGATTTAAAGCCTGTATTCTATGTGAAATAGAAAATTTACGAGTATCGACCCTGTACATGCGACAAATGTCGATGTAACACAAGCGCCAATTTAATCTTAATTGGCGGAAACCTTATTAAATTCCGATACTACCGAATCGAATGGCCAATTATAACAGCTATATCGAATTTTACTGCGTTTATATATTGTTAAGGAGTCGACGGGCTCACATCCTCTAGTTGCCCTGTTCCTGATCGAGTTTATAGGGTGCATAAAATAGCACAATGACAATAAAACCTATTGCACACGTCGAAATTCGGAAAATTTATTAGTCCGAATTATATTTCAAACAGGTAGCGGTGTAATGACGTGGGCATTTACGATTTATTTTGTTTTATATGAAGTCGATAAAATTCGTTTGCACGGGGTAATAATGTTGGAAATTTAAAACGTCTCTTTCGAATGCGCGCATATTTCAATTTTATTATCCTCTTCCGCTATAAAAGTGTGGGTTTAATCACCACCACAGCCGAGAAAAGGGTCAGTTTTCAATTTGAAATGATTTGCAATGTAACACTTTATATGCGAAAAAAAATATTATGTTGAAAATTCAGTTTTAGGCCAAAAATTAATATTATTGCAACAACGATTATGAAGCAAAGACTTTGTTTTCAGTTAATAAAGTTAGTTACTAGCCGATTCTCGCTAATTAATTATTATCTTCAACCAACGATATTACAGCCATATACAGGGTATATTGAATTAAGTGTTCCAAAGTGAAACTATAGATTTCTACGAGACTTACAGGGACTGCAAATTTTTTATATCATATTCATTGTGTCAGTGTCATGAATCCATGCCTTCGTTTTTATATATTATATACTATGAATAGTCTAGACCAAATAAACTGTTAATTATGACAAAGTAGTGGACTCAGACTATATTCAAAATTTGAGTATATACATTAGCATATCACAAAGTCTGATATACTAATAATCGAAAAATTAGAATAAAATTGACCACACAGAAAGAAGACGACACCCACGCGGCCACACACAAGGATTAAACAATATCTCATTAAATTTAACACAAGAAACATCTTGTTTATGCGACAATGGAAATATAAACAAGTTGTTTTAAACAGCAAACACTTTAAAAAGTTTTGCTTGCCATTTATACTCAATTATCCTTGTATACACATTTTTTCCATTTATTTCCATGTAACACTATACGATCTATAACTAACATTTTATTGAAAATAAAAGTATTTAGAATTGTTACAAAATGTAGAAAAAAAATCGTTGGAAATAATCCGACTGCAAACACATCGATTGAATATTGAATGACTTCATGTAATAATTGTCCGGCGGATTTTACAGCAATATTTTAGCTCAGATTATTATAGTCAATAAATCAATTGGAAAACTTACCTCAAACGCAAGCGTTAATGCCGCTTTTTCTTGCCGCAGTTGCTCAGCCTGTTTTTTATACACCAACATCGCTCTGACAGTCTCTTCCATTCTGCAACAAAAACAAGCCACATTAATTAAAATTACATCGTGAAATCTTAATATCCTAATAAATAGTCCTTCTTTAAAGCTCTATGCACATAAACCGCAGCGTTTAAAAGCCCACCCTGGTTAATATTTATTTTATGAAAGCGCAAGGTAGATTTTCAATTTGCATGCAGATTTGCCATATTATTGCTCGAGCTCAAATTTCGCAAGTTTGCTGAAATATTGTCCTGGGTAGTAGCGTGGCAGGACCTCGGCTATTTTAGTTCACGGAAGTTATAGTGCCAGTCAATTCCTCTGTTCCAATATTGGACTTCAGGATAAAATCTAGATATAGACCTTCAAATTTAAATCATAATAATATTCCACATTATTTCGTGTAACTTGATAAAATTATGGTATTTAAATGTTGTAATTTTGATATTGTTTATATAAACACAATTTCGTGAGTATAGTAAATTATATACATTTTTTTCATTCTCTCTTCTTTCTATATATATATATATATATATATATATATATATATATATATATATATATATATATATATATATATATATATATATATATATATATATATATATATATATATATATATATATATATATATATATATATATATATATATATATAAGTATTATTAAGTATATTGATTTTCCAACAAGAAGCTGTGGAATATCACACTAATGCAAAGAATAACAATGGAGAGAAGAGGAATGGAGAAGATTAGAGGGATATATGACAGATCTACAACAAACTCGCTAATTATTGAAACTAACAAGTCATAATTTGATTCACTTTTTGTTCATCGCCATTATTGGGATTTCTTTATTATATCATGTTTAAGAAACATTGTTACAAATTATGGAAACTTTTTTGAGTTCGCTTGTTCCGATGGAAAGCAAACATTCAAATTTTGGTACTAGAAATTGGTGTCGGTTGATAAATGTGTTCTACCTCAATAACTATGCGTATCATCATCAATAACTATGTGTTCTGTTGATCCTTTCTTCCTGAATCCTGATCCTTCCTTTCTGAATCGGATACCTGGTATATGGTTAAAATTTTGAGTGCAAAATATTTTAATCTAACCGGAAGAAAAATTCTGAAACGCTGTAAAAGCATACCAACGCTCCAACGCCAAATCTTAGATGCGAACTATAAGTTCATCCAAATAAAAATGATTTGTATCAAATGGACCCAATAATACGCCTATGGGAATATGTTAAGCGCAATCAGAAGCGAATGGATCCATTAATATCTTGCACAAATTAGTATAAAGGACAAATCTAATAATAATGAGGTGCATTCCATTGCACAAAATCCTGGGAGTATTGAGAAATGTAGAAAAGTTGCATGTTCAACAAAAGAATAGTCTGTCATCACAAATAATTATATGCTTAGGGATAGTGCTACATCTAAAGAGCATAACAGGACATTACTGACACCAAACAAAAACGAAGCTGCCGAGAAAGCAACTGCAGGCACAAAGATCAATGAAAACGTTATAAATAATATTCTTTGCAGAGATCTCTTATGGATTTTAGACCAAGCTATTGATATATTAAAAAAAAAACAACAAACACCACCCTTAAGCTCCATGGACATATCATTGAACAAGTGTCGTCTCTAAGATACGCTCGTCAACCAGCAATACGACCCAAAACTCCAATCTCCGAACAACATGAGGAGGACACTTCTGGCAAACCGAAACCCCAGCCTGAAACTCCGAACCAGAATACTTCGCTGTTATATCTTTGCTATTCTTCTGTACTGAGGCGAGAGTTGGACCATCGATTCAGCCACAGAAAAGAGTTGATGCGTGCAAAATATATGCCCACAGATGAATACTGCGAAAATTTTGGATGAAAAAAAAAACACAAATATAGAGCAAATGGATAAACATAAAAAACTCCTCCCTGATAAACAAGGAGAAAAAGCTGCAGTACCTGGGACATATTATGAGAGGCGAGCGATATGAGATTCTCCGCCTGATAATACAAGATACGAGCGAAAGAAAATGGTCGGTCGGCCGAAGACAAAAATCATGACTGAAAAACTTGCGCAGATGGTGCAGGAATTTTCAGAGTTGCAGTTTCTCGTGCGACAATAGCCATTTGGATCGCCAACCTTCGAATACTGGTTATGGAATAGTAACTCAGCTTTAGCAAATTATAGGCAACTGAGAGATTTTTGACTAGAAAAAAAGGTTTTTTTTATAAAACCCTAAAATTTCTTTAATATATCTCGCGCTAACAGCCCACCAAAAAATACGGCCCTGGGAATAAAAATTTAATTCAGTATTTCATTTGATGCGACCTAAATAACGTCAAATGTCAGACGATAAAAAAAGCCGTAAAAAGTGTTTAGAAGCGACGGAAACGGCGTTGTAAAAAAAATAAAGTCAAATCCAGAAGAAAGTGAAAGGCGTAATAATAGCTGCGGGGGCTAGACCATTTACGTGGGCGGAATGTTTATTCAAAGAATGAGGAGGGGTGGTATTACGTCAGACGCTGGAGGTGGTCCGAAGGCTAATGGGATTTTGACAGAGAACTGCTAGAACGCGAATTCTACCCCGGGGGGTTAGATTTGTTTCTGCGCCAGGCACAACGACTTTTGATGTGAAAAGTGAAACTGCATGTTTGTGACAGTCTAAAAGAAAAATGAATTCTATTTTTTGAATCAGGTGAATTCGCAGTAGATTTCGAAGTTTTTAGAGTGCCGCAAAATGAGTAAGAATTACTAATTAGTAGTAAAAGCGGACAGTGATCTGTATAGAGCATGGATATTCGAACTACCTTTCAAAGATGCTATTACTACTACTTTACTACTCTCTTGTCAGATTTCATATAAAATGGTAAGCATAACTTTGTACAAATTATCTCTCAGGCTGATCAGCCTACCAGTTCTATAACCAACAAATCAATATCAGTGCGAATAACGCATCCGAACAAAGACAAAGACCCAATTTTGAAAAAAGGAAAAAAATTAAATGTGGTCGTGGTCAGTAACGTAAATACAATTTTATTGGTGCTAGTTTTACATTTTACTGTAGCCAAAAGCACACTTTTCAAAATTCGCTTCATTCTCGAGTATCATTTTCGAAAATTTAACTCCGAGATTTTTTGGGATTCATAATATCATTCAAATAACTCATACTATGACTTTAATTTAGTAAAATACACGACTGGTAATGCTTATTTTTCAGGTTGTTTGATACGAAATGTAATTTTCGATCCCAACCATTAGGATCTCCAAAACTATAGGCGACGTATACGTGGATGTGGAGGAAAGATTCAAAGTGGTAAAATAATGGAATATTTTCCGAGTTAGTCTTTTTTTTAATTTTATTTTTAACGCAGTAGGTTTATTTCTCAACAGAATAAGCTGGTATTTTACTCACACCCCTGATTTGGTGAGTCATTGTCAAAAAATAAAAGTATTTCAGAAATTTGTAACTAGAGGACACCTTACCTAGAAATTTTTTTCATTTTCCCTGTATTTTATTTATTTAAACTGATATTGCAAAATAGAATCACAAATATACTTTTTTTATTCTCGGCCCGAATACCCCGCACTTCTAATTTACAGATATGATACTGGATATAGCCATATGCATTTCTGTTACGGGGAAGTAAGTGGAAATGCAGGCCAGCATTATTAACATACAGGAGACTAAATTTTTCAAAACAGTATGCTACAAATTAAAAAAGTGAAAAAATGGCATAAGTCAACGCAATAATATGTTTAATTTAAGTAACGTTTTCGAAAATAAAAAATATTAATAATTTTTTCAAAATGTCAGCGGTTCATTACTAAACATTTTCTTGTACATTTTAAAAAATGCTGTCTAACACAAAAAAATACGCCTATCCCATTTCTAATAACTTTTTATAATTTTTTCTTATAGATCATTGATATCTGTTATATGTGTGTAATACACTAAATACTTTAAGTGCCCCCAAAAAAAGAAGTCTATCTGATTAAGGTCTGGTGAGCCAGACGTCGAAGGTCCAGGTCCGAGCCGACCTATCCATCGATCCATCTTGCATTAATCAGATATTTTGTTTCCGTTGCAATGGTATATCTTCCAGCAAGGGCAAACCCATTTCCCCATTAAGCGATCGGTTAAAGAAATGAGGTCCTTTAATTTATCTCCTATATATATATAATCTCTGCCCATACATTTAAAGGAAACCGGCGCTGATGTTTTCCTTAAATTTTTGCATGTATGCGTGCAAATTTCAAAAATTTACAATGCCATCACGACTGAATGTAGCCTCGTCAGTGAACAAAATGACATTTAAGAATTGCGTGTAATTTTGAATTTGTCCTAAAATTTGATTGCATAAAATTACTCTCAATTGCTTATCACCATTTACAATGCTTTGAAGGGCCGAAGATCATTACCATGCAAAACTTCCCAAACTGTAGAGCAAGCAATTCTTTCCTGAGCAGCAAGTTTTCTCGTACTCGTTGATGGGTCAGCTTCCACATTTTGAAGTATTCTTTCTTCTACTTCTTTCTCGTTTTGTGGCGGTTCTTTTATACTTTGTTGCCTTTATTCATATTATCAGGTTTGAATGATCCCCTTTCCCCTTCTGTGTATGTTGATGAATGTTTTAGCAGATGAAACGTTTCTATTGGGATAAGCCTCGATATAAAGCCATCGTGCTTGATCTGCATTATCATGCGTAGCAGAAATGCATATCGCAATATTCAGCATTTGAATATTCCGGATAGGCCATCACAGTAGCAGTATAATAACCTCTTTTAATAGAAACTAATTTTTAACTGATTGTGACAATGACTTTTTCAAATTTCATTAAGTCCTATAAGGCAAAATCACATTTACAGGTAAATTTTGAGCCGAGAATAAAAAATCAAAGTTGTTCACCAAAGACGCAGGAATACGCTTTATTAGTTGTCGATTGCTTCAATTAGTTAAGTTTTACTGATTGCTATGGATCCCAATAATCATCATGATTCCCATATTAAATAAATGGC